GGACCAAGCCAGCTTGGAGCTGCCAGATTTGGGGTTGCTATTTGTCCTAGTAAAGCCTTCAAAATTTTATCTGCTTCAATTTACCTTTTAATAAACTCCCTCCCTCTGATATAAACATGAATTAAGGAAAACAATAGTATTGCTTTGTCTTTAAATACACTCTAAAAGTACAGAACTTTAAAATGTTTTATTTAGCAGATAGTAATCCAAAACATTAGGCTAAAAGTCATCTGGGTAGACCTACATGGAAAAAGGGCATGTGGTTTTACTTCTCTGCCCTCCAATTCTGGAGAAATTGAAGCACATACTACAGGACTCATGGAGATACTCTCTTCTCAATTTTATACCGAACAGTATTAGATGGTTCTTTCAAACATGAATTTAATCTCTCTTTTATTAAACTGCTTTCTTGGTTGTACAATTAGAGAATCATTGCAGGGGAATGAATCACTTCAACCCTCTACTGTCCGAACACAGTCATGGAATCATGTGAGAACTGAGTGCTTGTGAGAAAACAAGGTAAGAGTCCTATGACTTCAGTTTCTTTAAAACATGGGATTTGTTGCTGGAATGTTTTTTCATGCTCCTGCCAGGTATAGCAGATAGGAATGAGTTTACCTCAGATAATTTATTATTGCTTGCTGGAGATACTCAATTAAATGTTTAAACTATCCTTTATATGCCTCTATGGAAAAACGTTTTGGCCACCTGTGGCTTGCCATTGTGACTGCATATTTTACTCAGGTGTCTCTACTTAACCCTGAGAGTATAAATTGTCTGATGCTCTGAATAAAGTTGGCTACTGCATGAGACTTTAGTCTGCCTCATTTTTAGGTCCCGCCTCCCAGGTTCATGCTGCCAACTAGAGAGGTAAACACTCCATCAGTTTGAAAACAGCACATGCAGTAAGTCTGGGCACAAATGAACCTGTTCGGATGGCTCTCATTTCTACATATATACATTCAGTCTAAATTGAAGTTAAAAAATGACAAAGAACTGAACATTTAAAATGATGACACAAGTTTCCACTGAGCTTTAGAAATGATACTGAAATAATGTGTTGTTTTGACATCTTCTTTATAGATAAGGTGACTTAAACATTTAGAAGATATTCCAATGACCAACAAATACATGAAATGTGTTCAAACTCACTGGTCACAGAGCAAGACTTTATTAACTAACCAGGGTGCTGCCACACACTTGCTAGGATTTTTGAAACTGAAAAGACTGGCCAGTACCACCACTGAAGGGACGGGGAGGAGGACAAGAGCACACAGCATACGATCCACTAGGCAAAACCAGGTTAAACAAACCTGTACTAGCACACTGGAAGGCAGTGGCTGCCTTTCGGGAAAAGGTAAGGTTAGGAGAAGGATTTGGGGGTCATGTACAAGAGGGCTCAGGATATTTCTTGAGCTGGTTGGCAGTTTCACGGGTCTACTCCGCTAGTGATAACTCTTCCAATTACATTTTTAAAATTTATGTTGTTACAGTAATGTTGAGGTTAAAATGGTGAATTTAGAAACACAGTAGAGTTAAACAGGAAGGCTCCAGAGAAAGCCCGTTCCCAAGGAGTATATGCAAGGCTTGTGTTATACTTATCCTTCCTTAAATATTTTAGATGATACCATCCAATAAAAAGTCCCTTCAAAAGAGAATGATAGATGTATTTCAATTTGTATAACTAAGCAACCCTCTTTAGTAAGTAAGCACTTTATGAAAGAGAAGAACCTGAAGCATATCAAAATTGAAAAAAAAAATGCCTAAGTTTCCACAGCAGTCAAGAGGGGGTTAACCTCTGGCAGCCTGGCTGCTGAGTCCCATAAGGAATGCTCTCCTCACAGGAGGCTCCGGCTTCCTGTAGCACATTTCCTTCTGGCAGCTGAAGGGCTCTGGAAGAGGCACTCTTAAGCTGGCAACAAACCAGGAAGCACGTTCCAGGCAAGCCAGGTGCTTCACCAATGCCACTCACCTACTCTGGCTTCTCAGAAGAAGGCCCCCGAGGGCAACAGACTGGGTGAATGCAGGCCAGCAGAGGGGTTATTGAGGAAACTGTGCCAATAGCCTTTGCTTTATTCATTAACACAGACACTTCACATAGGCCAGATGTTGTATCCGGAATTCTAAACTCAAGAATTAGAAACACAAGCCAAAGCATAATTGACAAAAGCAAAACCCAAGGACAACATTCTATATAGTACTTTTCTTTGAAATGTGTCCATATTCTTAACAGATTGCAACAAAACTCCACTTTCTGTCATATCTACTCCTGTGAGACCTGTGATCCCAGCCTTTCTCTACACTTGGGCCCTGATGGAAAATACAAGAATAATAAAATACTGAATGATTAAATTTCATGTGAAGCCAGTTGAAAAACAGCCATCTTGAAGATTCTTGGTTTAGACAGTTTAGAAGAGGAATTCTGTGTCACATGTTATAAACAAATACATGAATTTGTTATGTAGATTATGTTGAAATATGAAAACAAGTATTTGGGCTTCCTAGGCAAGGAAAAGAAATGTAAAGTTCAGAGCTATGGCTAGCACTGTGGATAGAAACATGGGGATATGTCCTATTTTTCTTGAATGATGCTGTATTTATTACTTTACCAATAAATTATGTTGTTACAACAAACACATAGGTGTGAAAACTGTGGGTTTGGTTTAACACCAATAAGCCATTTGTAATTCTGAGTTTCGAGGACAATACTTTGAAGTAATTAGCTGTGGCTCTTGGAAGCACTACTCTAGGCAGGTGGACAGGGCTCTATTAGAAACAATCACTGCCAGAACTACAAGCTGTTTCTTTGCGAAATCGAATCAACTCATCTGCACCTTTTTTGCTGTATTGTGTTTTGTTTGTTTCACTGTTCTCTGATTTGCATGAACCAAAGCCAGGATTGAAATCACTGATTACATTTCCAGGCTTTTTAACCAGCTTAGAAATTTCAAGGTTTGGAAAATGTTCTGGGAGATGAGCTATGCATTCATTTTCCTGATATAGTGTGAGGAAAATAAAATAACTCCCACATCCCTTTATCCATCCCAGGATGACAGCCAATCTCAAAAAAGTTGAAATACTCCAAGCACTTAAAAATATTCTATAAGGTGAAGTCAAATTTTTTGAAGAGACTATTTAAACAAAAAACAAAAATGGCTCTGCAAGTCATTTTTGAAATCCCTTACACCCTGTCCTTTTATGAAGTTAAAATTCAAGAGCAGCTACTAAGAAAAGATGTTTCAGCTGGGCAGTGGTGGAGCACGCCTTTAATCCCAGCACTCAGGAGGCAGAGGCCGGGAAAATCTCTGTGAGTTCAAGGCCAGCCTGGTCTACACAGTGAGTTCCAGGATAGCCAGTACTGTTACACAGAGAAACCCTGTCTCAGCAAAAAAAAAAAAAGTTTCAAATAAAAGTCCTGATACTTGTCTGTGTAGATTTAACCCTCGGTGGCTTTCTATCATTAATAAAAGTAAATTTCACAGAAGCTAATAATCAATGTTTTATTCCAACCATTGCCCTTTTGTACTTGATGGTTCAGACAGCCAGGCACTGTGTGTCACATGTTTACAGCACCTACAGAGTGCACTTCAAGTGGAGATCTCTAGAGGACAAAATGATTTTTCCCTTAGAAGGAAATATGAAGGCATGGGCAAAACAACATAGGATGTGAGGACCACTGGTGACCAAAGAAACATAAACAACACAGCCTGTATAAGCAGGGCTTTTTCCAAATACCTTTGATGGATAAGAGGCTTAGATTGCATTGCTTTGCTATTCCTGGACAACACTGGAGAACTGAATACATCTTATAGCTAATGATATCTTAACATTGGTTTTGTGAATCCGAACAAAAGAGTCAGAAAAGTGTAAGGTAAACCATATTTAGCAAACAGTAAGGCACAAGAAATTCTGACAAGCATACTGCACATGTGGAACCGAACTGCACGGGAAGCCAAACCAGCTACTGCCAGTGTACTTCTTAATGAGAAGCACCCACATGAAGCAAGCCGTAGTGCAGGTCTTGGTGGGGCAGAGACAACTCTGGTTCTGTTTTTATTCATGATTTTTCTGGGGGATGGTCTAAATTTCTTATGTTTTCAAATAATTTAGCAACCAACAAAATTTATTAAATACTCTAACAATACTGAGATAACATACTTGAATGAAGTTTAATACAAATGATTATGGCATACAGTTAGCCCCAAGTCCAGTTAAGAGAATTAAATGAAATGTACACATTTTTAAAAGCTGATATTAGAAGGGAGTCTAAGCCTGTTATCCATTGATGACCAAGTAAGGACAATGACAGCAAGGAAAGGAACTGACCAAGAACTCACGGAACGCTTGCAATGCCCCCAGCTGGGCACAGAGAATACAGTCCAGTCCACTACACTCAAGTTAACAGAAAAAACTTACACAAATCAACAACAGCATTTGGAAAACTACATTCAGGAATTTACTACTTAATCCAGAAGCTACAAACTGTCATAATAAAGGATGGAGATTAAACCACACGCAGAAACAGCGAGGCTATTATTTCTTCCAAACATTCTATACTGTAATGTGTGATTCTAAAATTCTATAAACTTCTAATATTCTGGTAATATGTTCAAGATCTTTACAAAAGGAATGTGAGGCTGTCCTAAGCCATGTACACAGAGGACTCATGGCTTGGTGTCAATTACCCAAATACATGACAATCAACATCACATCGTTGCTTGACACACTGTCTTTTGTGTTCTGTTCCACGTCCCATGACTTTGTAGGTACGGTTTCTGAAATGGGACCCAGAAGCTGCTTGTAAGCCTTTAACCAAATGAAACAAAGTCAAATTATCATGTACTGCAATAAATAGATTCCACAACTTGTACCTGAGGCTGCAAAACACATGCTGGCTTCTTCATTTTTAGCATCAAGTGCCAAGATGCATCATGTGGAGGCTCAAGAAGACGAAGACTATGCCATATTCCCATGCCATATTCCTACTAAAGAAAAGTTACCTTGGGATCAGATGTGAGCAGTTTGAATGCTTGATAGACTTGGGATTCCTTTACACCACCTCCAAGGTCCAAGAAGTTAGCTGGCTTCCCTCCATTCAGGAAAATGATGTCACAAGTAGCCATGGCTAATCCAGCACCATTCACTGAAATGCAAATAGCACATAACATGACATAGGATAAACTATTCAGCATGAAAAATGGTGTGTAAACACCCAGAGCTAAATGAGGGTGCTATCATTTCCAAGCCAATCTGTGCCCTGACTGAAATTCCATCCAACTCATAAACTCACACCCATTTATAGTTAAAAATCGGGGTAAGTATATCCAAAGAATAAGTAAGAAAATAGAAATGTAGAGAATTCATCAATAATTCAAATCAAAAGCAACAATTAAGGGGAGGAACCAATTTGGCTGTGGATTCTGGAAAGGCTCTGTGTAGAATGGGTAGAAAGAATAAAAGCTGTGAGAAGTGGCTAGCTGTTCAAATGGATTGAGCCAAGAGTGACAATGAGCTTGTCCCTATGGAGATGCTCTCTGAATGTGTACCCTTCTGTGACTAACCCAACTTCTCAGGTCTCTGCTCTTTCTTCACCTACTGCAGGCATGCATCTTTATATGATCTCATCAACAGCAACTCAAATCAGAAACAACAGCCAAACCCAGCATCCCTTGATGCTCCTTCTGTAATCAGTGTAAGAAGCAGGGACATAGTGGCACATCCCTAGAATCCTGGCACTCAGAGAGTTAAAGCAGGCCGAGCCTGAATTCAAGCCAGCCCAAGCTACATAGTAAGTAAGTAACAGGACAGCCTGGGGGGCACATAGTACAACCCTGTCTGAAAAAGCAAAAGCCAGGGGCTGCAGAGATGGCTCAGTGGTTAAGAGCAGGTACTACTCATCCAGAGGACCTCAACTTGGTTCCCAGCACCTAGGCTCAAGACCACCTGTAACCGAAGTTCCAAGGGATCTAATACCCTCTTCTGAACTCCAGAGAGCATTTGACAGACAGACAGACAGACAGACAGACAGACAGACAGACAGACACACACACACACACACACACACACACACACACACTTAAAAAGCAAAGACAAAACTTAATACAAGATGCTAATTACTAACCCAGTATTAAAACTAGAATTAAAGTAGACAAGTTATGGGCCTTTCCTGGGAACTGAAGTAGTGGTTTAGCACTGAATTCCTGTTTCCTAGAGCTAACTCTCATTGATCAACTGCACTTCCTTTGCTTCTTATGTCTAATTATAGAGCATTACTGTCCTCGGGTAACAAAGACTGGGGGTGGTGTAGTCAGCAAACCACTCAAGATAAGACAACCTTTACTTTTTCTGACCCTTGAATGGTCCCAGAAAAGCCTATGAACTGTGATTACTTTAATTAAGGTGGGGGACACTAAAATACAAATAGAGAGTGGGGGCCTGGATCATGGGGTGGACTAATGTGTACCAAAGCATAAGCTCAGCAAATAAAGCATGTATTGTCCATCATAAAAAGAATGTGTGTGCAATAAAAGATCTTCAAGAAGTGTGAAGTGTTTTAATCAGTTTGTGCGACACATACAGAAATACCTGTATTTAATTTGCTCTAAACACACCCCTATATTGTCCCCCTTTCCAAATGTCTACAGAAGTTGTGGGCACCTTTGCTTATGGCAGCCAGAAGGGTGTGAATGATCCATACCATTCAGACAGCACTCCCATACTGAGCAGGAGCTTTAGGTATCAATTGTAATTGGATGCCATTTTCTGTTGTATTGAACAGTGAACTGCTGAAGTCTCTTCACTTCTTAATATAATGATGCTGTTGTTTTAATGAGCAACAAATCTTTTTTATTTTAATTCCATTAAGATGAAGACCTCAGTTTCTAGTGCAACGAATTGTTTCTAGCAGAAACACAGTCGTGTGCAATTAAGCCGGAAGCAAATAAATCACAGCACTAGAAGCCGTGGACAATAACTGAAATTGTATTGCCTCTACAGACCCATTCTTATCTCAGCTGCATAAGCCATTTTCACTAAATTAGATGGCTATGATGGAGCCCGTTGTTTGATTAATAAAATGGAATAATGAATTAAGTATTTTGGCAACTGGTTACCATTCAATCTGAAATGTTAGTGAAATGATTAGATTCATGTCCTTTGCTCCTTCCTCTGTACCCTAGTTAACTTTTACTGTCAACTTGACACAGCCTACAGTCACCTGAGAAGGGAGTCTAAACTAAGACTGTCCAGATCAGATTGGCTGGTGGGCGCATGTGTGTGGGATTCCCTTCATTAATGAGTTAGGAAGGCCCACTATGGGTGGCACCATTCCCTGGGCAGGTGGTCCTGGGCTGGATAAGAAGTAATAAACTAGTAATTGAGCCTACAAGCATGGTTTTTGCTTCAAGTTCCTGCCCTCTCTCCCCTCAATGATGGACTGTGGCTGTATACTAAATAAACTCCGTCCTCCCACAACGTTCTTTAGTCGAATATTTCATCACAGACACAGAAAGGAAATGAGACAATGATTTTTGTCTCAGAATCTGATTCTCCACAGTTCTTAGCATATGATGCTGAATGCATAGGGAGAGTTGTTAGTTTTATTAAACAAAGCTGGGATGCTTTAAACCAATGTTTCTTTTAATATGTATATACACATGGGCATGTGTGTATGTGTGTGTGCACACACGTGCGGACATGTGAGGGCCAGAAGTTGGTGTTGGGTGTGTTTCTCTACTGTTTCTCTACTTCATTTTTTAACATATGTCTCTCACTAACTCTAGAGATCACCATTTAGCTAGACTGGCAGTACAGCAAGCTCCCTCATCCCAGCCGTCTCCCACCTCCACAGGACTGTGGATATCACCACATACCATCACACCGGCTTTTAAGTGGGTGCCACTGATCCAAACTCAGATCTTCATGTTTGCAGGCCCTTACCAGTGGCCATCTCTCCAGCCTCTCAGCAGGTCTTTTTTGGAGTGCTGTGGCACACCATAGACACCTGGAAACATCTGGGCACTTTCCGTGCTCCATTTCTACAACTTTAGCTGTCTCTAGAGGAGAGGGACACTACTGAACCTCATATCCTGGTCAGACCCCCAAAACCAAAATATTATCCAGTCCCAAAGCTCAGCAGTGCCAGAGACGAGAAACTGCTTTAAATCAGTGACCATCAATCAAAATGGATTTTGAGAGGAAACTCTACTTCCATTTGACAGTATAAGAAAAGACCTATTTTAACAGCTATTAGTAAATAGTATATCAGAAATCCTATAAAATTCCAGACTCGGTGTTGGTACTTACCGAAGCAGGCAATATTCCCGTCTAGTCCTATGTACTTGAGATCATATCTGGCAGCTTCATTTTCAATGGGTTCATTCTCTGATTTGTCGTCCATTGCAAATATTTCCTTTTGTCGGAATTCAGCATTGTCATCAAAGTTTATCTTGGCATCAAAACAGACAACTAAATAAAAAGACAAAGAGGCCATACCTGAGAGTCTTGGGAATCTATAAACTGAGTTCTTCAAGCCAGCAGGCACAGAAGCAAAGGAGGCAGACATTCAAATTTTCTCACACTACAGGCAGGGAAGCCACTGCTTTCTTGACCTTTGAACTTTTAGGACAGGATCCCTGTTCTGAGGGGACTTACATTAATAATAAGGACAGCAACTCATACCTGTCAGTTTCTGCTCAGCAATACAACAAAGGTCACCAGCATCCACTTAAAGCTACAAACCAGCACTCCTGTACTCTGGAGTCACGGTTATACCTGCATCACTTACAGTCAGTATTTGGCAGGTGAGCATTGCCTTCCCTTTTATGCGAAAACAAAACACGGTAATGATACCAGTTCTTTTTTTCTCTGTCCCTGACATTCCACGTAAAATCTATATTTTATCAGCACCCTCTTAGTACTCATTAATATTTCTGGACATAATAAAGAGAATGCCGAGTTGGAATACATACTTTATAATTTGAGTCCTAATTCTTCTACCTCTCAATACTAATTAAAATTGAATAGATTTAAGGTATACAGCATGATGTTTTGACATACACATGTATTTTAAAATGACAACTATAGGAAACAAATTCATATGTCTTTCCTTCACAGATGTTTTCCTTCTTTTCCTTGTAACTTTTGGGGGTGAGAAAACTTGAAATCTGTTTTTTGAACCATTTCTAGCATACATTACTAACTCTGTGACCTTGGTAAGATGGCCTCAAATCATAGTGGGCCTTGGTTTCCTCACTTGTAAAGAACAGGGAATGCAATCCCGAGTCTACAGACTTCCTTGACCTGTGTGTATGTCTTCGGTTCGGGCAGACCATCTTACGACTTATCAGGTCTGTCAACAGCAAGAAGCCGGGCACCTCTGGCACTACAGTGTATATCCTTTGCTAGAGGCGGACCTCCATGTTGGATACAAACAGCTTGTGCACAGCAAAACTCACTCTATGACAGAGTTGGGTCACAGAGCATCTTTGTCTGCAAACAGGACATTCAGGTGATGGCTTTAGGAAAGAGGAAAACATCTGCAGTATCCGGACTCAGGCATGTTTATTATTTCACTTGCAGCAGACACTTGTTTTCTGTGTCACCATGCCATGATAACATCCTCTAATTGCATCTGAGATATTAAAAACCAGATGTCTTTGGTCAAACATTTACAGATGTTGTGCCATTTCTTTAAGCTTTGCTGAGAAGCACTTCACTTTTGAAATGGGAGCCATCATTTCCCAGTACTTCACAGAAAAGCAATGGCCATGGCCAGCTAACTCTACTTGCTTCCTAAAAAAAGAAAACTGCTGTTTATGGCACCCTGAACTCACAGGCACCAGGAAAATTTCACCCAAGTTCTCTTGCACATGACTCAAGCACTTGAAGCAGGTCTGTGAAGGACTGGTTTATTTATATTCAAGAAGACTTGGTAGAAAAAAAGATAAAAAATTACATAAATGAGTTCTGACTGACAAGAGAAAATCTTACATGGAAGGTGACAAATGTTTAGGTCCCTAGTCTTGCCACAAACTTCCGGCCACTGCCCACACTATGAATACATGAAGTGAATGAGTAATTACTTTCCACAATAGTGTAGTTGTAATGAAGGAATTCTGCAATTACCAAAGGAATCGGCCAGTGCTCTGTGCTCCCTGCAAAGGCACTTTCTCAGCAGTTAATGACCAGTATAATAATCAATAGAAAAGCAACTTCATTCTTGGCTTTCCACTGGGTTTATAAATACATTCTAATTAATTTATTAGTAATTTTAGCTCCTACATTACTCACTGACAAGATTACTTGTAAGTGACACCTTCAAAATGAATGGGCAAAGACTATCAAATTGACTTTCTAAGTGAAGACTTGCAAATAAAAGAATTCTTGGTCAAGATCAATAAACCAGTAAATCAAAATAGTTCCAAGCTAAACTCTGCCCCTTAATACAAAGAATACAGTTGCAAGCTGCTCCAGAGAAAGGATAATTAATGGAGATGTATGCAAAGTTCAGAAGGTAGTCCCAACCAAATGCCTGCAAAGCCAGATTTTCAAAAGGTTTTATGTTATGATGCACATACCAAGTGCAGAAAGAAGCTTGTTGTTTGATGACCAGCTTGAGAACCCGACAGGTAACCCAGTGCTTGAAAAAAAAGGCTGTGGGACCACAGGGGAGCAACCCACAGCAGCCTTGGCCAGCTGCTCCCTGTCTGGGAACAGATCAATGTGTGCAGATCCAAGAGCTCTGGGAAGCTAAAAATACTGCACAACTGTGAAGTTAAGTAAGAATACTTCGTTAAGAAGGCACAGTCAAAGCTGTGCCTAGTGGTACACACTGGAAACTCAGCACTTAGGAGACTGAGTTAGGAAGATTTCAAGTTAAAGGCCAGTGTGGCCTACCCATGTACAGCCTAACAGTCTTGGTGTCTCCGTCCTTCTCTTTCCTGTCTGTCTCATACACTTTGGTCTGTTCAGTTATTTCGACATGACTGTGACAACGTATCTGACACCAGTAACCTGAGAAAGGCAGGCTGTATTCTGCCTGATGATTTCAGTTCATCCTTAGTGGTAAGGTGTGGTTGACAAGTCGGCCGTGCTGGCTGAGTGTGTGGCAGTGGCTGTTCACACCAAAATAGATAGGAAGCAAAGTAGGCAAGAAAACAGAGGTGGATATAACCTTCAAAAGTTCTAGTGAATGATTCCTTCAGCTTAGCCCCATGTCCCCAAAATCCCCAGAGCCAGAGCCTTTAAAACAGCTTTACAATGTAGGTCGTCACCCAGTATTAAAAAATGAGGGCGGGGGGCAGGATTCAAATAGAAAAGATAGCAGTTTTCAAATCCAATTCTTGGCACAGAGATCCTAAAACCCTTGTAACTTTCTAAGCAATACAGCTACAGGTAGATCTTTCATTCTCATACTTGGCCTTTGGCTCTGTTTCCTGATACAGAGCACAACACCCCTGGGAATTTCCTGGAAATAATTTAAAATTTCCTTTGTATCTAAAAACAGTGGAAAGTGTTTCTCAGAATGCAATGAGCCACTGTAACAAATGACAAGAACTGAAGAGCAGGTTGTGAGAACACTCAAGTAAGCTGGCTGGTCAAAAGTGTCCAAAATAGATTTGTGACAAACAGCAATGGAGAGCATCAGTCTTGTGAGACAGAACCCTTAATGTGTGACTCTGACTCTTAATATGTGAACTGAACTGAATAACAGGACATCTGGTTGGTGTCAGAGAAATGGTCACAGAAGTGGTCTGTGCTGAGTTTAGTAGGAGAAAGACTGTGACATGCATTTCAAGGACATAGATAAAGTTCTGCATTGCCCAAGTAGCTAGCTCTGGTCACATGATTTCTCTTAAGCTCAAAGCCATCGTCTATAAAGAGGATCAGGGTTGTTGGTACTCTGTGGTGTTGGCAGAAGGAGAAGCTACGCCCGACACTCAGCCTCACAGGGGAATATGATTACCAACATGGTACATTCTGCACGCTTAGAGCTTCCCATTATTGTAGCTCAGTTTACAGAGCTACCTCTCATTTCTAGAAACTACTATAACCTGTCTCATTCCTTTAATAGCCCTAAATTTCTATTTAGAGTAGACATAAATAAATGAATGTGTACAGGCCACCTGCTGTACCTGATCAGCAGTCATCTGAATAAAGAAGAACTGTCTCAGAGCAAGAAGCTTAGAGACTGGCATTTTTAACAGCATAACTGACATGGCAAGGAAGTTTTAACTGAAGGACGTAAGGCTTTTGATGACCCTCAAATTATATACCTTTGCATATGGTGGCTAAAGATTCAAAGTTTCACATGGGGATGGGTATCAGGGGTAGCAAATTATGTCTCTCAAGCCAGCTCATCACCGGTTTTGTATGTACATTTGTATTTTCATTTACATATTGTCCAGGGCTTCTTTACAGGACAACAGCAGAAGTGGTAACCACAGTATAGACCACAAGGTCCACAAACCTCCATATGTTTACTGATACTATATAGTGATCCCTATTTAGATATACCTCTCAGCACATCTATATCTTGCTTCAATAGATGAGTAACCACCCACATTCATAATATTCTCAAGTAGTCAAAAAGGTACTTAGCTTAAGTATGTCCTCCTACTATCAGGAAGAATGAAAAAAGAATAAACAAAATAAAAGCTACACAAAAAGGGGAGATTAACCCCTGCATACCAATGGACTCTTTCATGCTGATTTCCCTGCTGACACCCTTCCCAATGTACTTGCTTGTGGTGTTACAAGTGGACTCAGGTCTATGTCAAAAACAGGCCAATAAAATCAACTTGCCCTGCTTGCTCAAACCTTAGCTTTCTCACTTAATTCAACAACAAACAACTGTGATAAAATGTATTTTCAGAGGTGTGGAGCTTAGCTCCGACATTAAGAATTTCAGTGTCACATAACTGAAACCTCAATTCTATAGAAAATTCATCTTGAACAAAAACCAATCTGTGTACAAAGTAGGAGAAAAAAACAGACCTATTAATATTTATAAAACAATTTCCACCATCAAAAACATATTGTTACATGGTTGATAGATTATACAAATGAATTTTCCTTCTGAACAAATATCAAAGAAAGCCAAGGTACTTATATTCATAGGGTGTTTGTGCTGTTTTGTTTAGTGGTGTGAGATTTTGCAAGCTACTAATTCAGCCACCTTGATGGAGAACATGACTGACGGTAAGAGGCCTCTGACCCCAGAACTTCAACAGAAGAATGTGCCACTGAGTTAAACAAAAGAAAAAAAAATGCATTTCAGAAGGTAGACATACACATAAAAGGAACAAAAAAAACAGCAGGAAGTACAACTGTCATAATTAGTTTGGAAAATAATCTGTCTTGAAGCAATGTGCTGTGTTTGATTTGTGATAAATAACCATAATGTGCTATTCAAATGTGCCTTGCCAAGCCGGCTTTAAAATGCTGATGCTTTAAAAGGAGTCCTGCTTTCCATTAAATATTGATGTTCCAAGAGTTGTATACTTTTTAGAACTTTTATCCAGTTGCTATGAAGAGAAAATAGATATGAGGCAAGATGGGGTGGGGAAGAGTACAGAACCAGAGAGGATCATGAAAATAGAGCCTTGTGTATAATGAGAGAAACAGAGGACACCCACTAACAACATGGGCACTTGTTAGCAAGAAGCAACAGGGTGGTTATTTAGGGAAATCTGAAGAAAGAAAGGAATTTGATGTGCCAGTTAACTTTGGATCATCCAGCTTTAATTCTCAAGAAATCTGGGCCAAACAGTCACTGTTCTAAGTGGTTCTCACTTCTTTAGTTCAGTGAATGGAGGCAGCTCCAGACGGAACTGACTTGTAGCAGGAATTCGAAATCTTTGGGCATATTGGGGGAGACCACTCTATGAACTGTAGGATGGCTAGCAACAGCCCTCCATTTACCAAGCAGGTGTCAAAAGCACCAATGCCAAGTTATGACAATTTTCTTTCCAATATCTCCTGGGGGATGGATAAGGTGCTTATCACTTGTTTAAAGACTCCCCCAAATGGTATCTTTTTGTGATCAAAGATGGTGGAAAGGGAAGAAGAAATAAGACATGATGCAGAATCTCAGAGTGACTTTGGAAAATGAAAGAATAAATGGACAGCCAGTTACATTAATCTGTAAGAAAAATTGTTCTCATGTGGCTACAAATTTACTGAATTAACTTGGTACTACAGTTAAATCAGGGGAGACAGTAGTTGATTTCTCTTTAACTACTGAAGCAACAATTTAATTTTGTTTCAATAAAGGCTGAGTCAGTCCTGTAGAGGTGTTTTCATTTCATTGTTCCATTTTTCAATAGGAAATAAATGGCCTTTCTCCTAAACCATGTGAGCACGAACCAATGACTGGCCTAGGCTGGACATGGGACTTAACATGGCTAATGAGAACCAGGTGAAGGGTTTTCTATGGCTGCTGGAATGGTCAACACTGGGTACCATTTTTCTGCCAGCACTGAGAGCTGCCTAAGTTAGAACAATTCAGAGAAAGCAGGGCTGTTCGATTCCTTCAGCTGAGTGAATGGATTTGGTCCATGGATAATAAGAGAAGCCTCATTCTGTACTGAGCACATGCTGCTCCACATCTTGAACTCCCTGTTAAGTGAGTAAAAGTAACCCATATAGGAGCTGGTGGACAAAAACTAAGTGAAGGTTAATAGGTTTTTGTAGGTCACTAGGAACCATTATAATCCTAGCAAAGAGTCACTAAAGCACAATAAAACTCAGTGTCAAATTACCCTCTGAACGAGATTGTTAAGCACATTGGAAGGAACTGTTCTTAGACCGGAATTCTTCCATGTCAAACATTTCCCAATGGTGATGCAGCAGCTTTGATGTTAATGACGTCACTACTTTTCACTCAATAGGATGTTGTGGAAGAACATGAACAATAAAGTGAATTAAAAAAAAAAAATGTTCCTTAGTATGCAATGGGACAAGGAGGAAAGTCTCCTACAAAGAAATGGCACAATGGCTAGCTTTTAAGTCAAAATGTTTATGTGACAGACAGCTCTTAAGCCTCCAGATTATAAGAATAATTCAAGTTTTCATGTGAAATGTTCTGTTAGTACTACATGGATATGATGTAAGCAGTTAGATTATAAATATTATCAGCATTGCTAAGATCTAAATGACTGCATTTATAGCTCCTACACAGAGGACTGCCGTCGGGACTGTGACAGCAATGAAGACCCAACTTACTCATTAGGTCATTAATCACCATTTCCTAATTGGGTTTAATTTGACTACTGCTCATTAGAGTTATAAACCAACACTCTCATTTAGTTGTGATTATAATTCAATAGCCAAACTTTTACGCTACAATGAACAAATTAATAGCTAAAGATAATTTTGGTCTTAAAAATATCATGTAAGATTTCTGCTTTAATGAACTGTACATACAGAATGTGCTTTGTGATGATTCCTTAAAAATACTCATGAATTTTTTCTGTTCTTATTAATTAAAAAGCAAACTTTAGCCTTTATATAAAGTTTGTGAACACCTTGCAAGAAAAGTTCCTTGTATAGTCTCCTTCCCCTACAGCCAGGTCACAGCGGTGAATAAAACAGTATGACAGCTAAATTGTCGCCCTACTCCGTAGGAAGCTTTCCTTCCTCCCTCTCTTTCTTCTTCTTTATGATGGTTTAGCTGTATGCACATGATCATACATGCACGCAGAGGTCACAGACAACCTCAGGCATCACTCCCTAGGTGTCATCCACTGAGCCAGAGTCTCTCACTACCCTGGAACTCACCAATTAGGTCAGTGAGCCTCGGGGATGTCCAGTCCCTGCCTCACCAGCGCTGCACTGCAAGAACACCAGCAAATCCAACTTTTTCTTTCTGTGAGTTCTAGGAAAACATTTAGATCTTTCTGCTTGCAAAAAAAGCACTCTCCTGACGGATCCATCTCACCAGCTCTCTGCTTCAGTCTTAAGACAAAGTCTTGCTTTGTAGCCCATGATGTTCTGGAACTCCTGACTCTCCTGTGGCTAGGATTACTGACCTGCACAGCCAAGTGTGTCTCAATATATTATGTTTAAGAGCCTTATAGTAAATTCCTTCATTTCTTGAGCATGCATGTGACTTGTGTTCTCAAAACGTGGGACTATTTCTGGGTCATTCTAATAAGAGCAAAATGCTAGTTGAAAAGAAAACAATGAGGAAAACAACAACAAAACAAACAAAAAACAAAGAAAAACCACAGGCAGTTTGCTCTAATTGATCTGGCATGGTAGGACAACCATGTACACTGGACTGAGAGGCAAGGGCTTCCACCCCATCTCACAAACCTCGCTGCCAATGAAGAGTCATGCTAAATGCCTGATCCTCTTAAAGAGGAGAATAATGGCTCTGACTTCTACAAGGTTGTTTATGAAAGTCTACCACAGTGCCTGGCATATAAGTTCAAAAACAGTTGCAACTATTCTTTTTCCTCTTTATATAAAATACTGAGGGTTTTTTTAGCCACAGCAATTAAAAATTAATTTTGAGGAGCTGGATAGATGGCTTAGTGTTAAGAACACTTGCTGCCCTTGCAGCTAGGAACCCAGGTATGGTTCCTAGCACCCACATGAGGTGGCTCACAAATGCCTGTAACTCCAATTCTGGTGGAGCCAATTGACAGGCCTTCTAGGCTCTAGAGGCACTTGAAGGCATGTGGTACACATAAATTCACTCAGGCACATATACATATAAAATAAATCTTAAAAAACAAGTTTAAATAAACATAACTTGCACATATACAACTTAAGTACAGATTTAATCTTGTGGTTATCCATGCAATACCATATTTTGAGCAACTTCCTCAAACAAGAACTTCCCATCAGCTAGACACTGGTTTTCCTGAAAAATCTTATACTGGCTAAGCAGAGGAATCTTCTTTTATAAATGTGGGGTATAGACCTATTTTGTGTCACACTCTGGGTGTATAACCCAGCTCACCAATCTATAATATCATTTTTACCACTTAGATTAATAAAAGCTTATTTTCCTATAAATTTGAAGCTTAGCCAATGAGGTATGCCGATCTCTAGCCAGAATATGATGGATGAAGAATATGAATTTGTCTTGAGGTCTCTCTGGGTTCCAAAGACAGAGTCTTTTAAAGTCTTCTGAATTTGACTACAAATCCTCTAAAGAAAATCACATTGGTCCCAATAGTGGTGTCTGTACATACATATTCAGCCCCTTCCACCTGCAAAGCCCTATTCAGACAGTGTTCACAATGCATGGAAAAGGTCAAAGTTTGTGCAGCTTATACTCTGGTTTGAGCTACTCTACCTATCTACCACCCTACTCCTCAAAATTGCTCTATGAAGTTCAAAGCCTGTGCTAGGAATGCATCTCCATTGAAGATATTTGCTGAGGCTCAAAATAGTGAAGAGTGGTAGAAGTCATTGCTAGAAGAGAAATCATTCCCCCAAATACCTCCTTTACCTAAAGCAAATACAGCAAGTGCGTTTAACTGCAGAATAGGGGCTTCGCTGAGATGACGGAAGTCCCATTCAGGGCATGATGTGAAACTGTCTATAGAGTTTGCAAATTTAAGAGCATCAAACAGTTCAGAAAAAATCAGGTGCAGTTATTAAACCCACGTATCGTGATACACACCCACACCCAAATCCTTCTATCAGCAGCAACTCCTGAGAAACCTGGGCTCTGTGTTTGTCTGCATGCAGGAACTGAATGAAGGGGGCTAAAGTCAGGCAGGAAGCAGCTCCCAGGAAGGCTTGGCATTTGCCTACAGCAAATGCTAAAATGTTGAGCACCATCATGGGAGCATTTGAAATGAGCTGAAATTAAATTACTGAGAGAAATGAACGCAACATGACTGCTGCTGTTGCAGTTTTTTGCAGGCTAATTTACAGTTTATATGCATAATTATAAAAGTCCACTTGTATTTCTAACTTTCCGCTGTTTGTTACCTTGTCCTTCTGGAGTTTCACCAAAGGGGTTCACTTCCACCTGAGTAGCGTCAATCTTCAGGAAGAGATGATACAGCTTTTTAATCTGGTCGGCTGCCTAAGTGTTCAAGAGAGATGGAATTACACCCAAGCAATACAAAAAAGTTTATTTTGTTCCATTAACAGAATCTTAAAATTAGCAAATTATGTCTTTATTTTCAGTTAGGTTTTCTGAAGGGAAAAATTGAAAAACATAATTATTTTAATTTCCATTGCTATTCATTAGAAGAGATTGCTCAACTCTCCTCCAGACACTAAGAGAGACCATTATTAAGAAAACAAAATATTTTCTATGCAGCCTAAAAGTGCCATTAATCCTTTTGTGAATTATCATGTCCCTGTTAGTCACGTTAGACTGCAGTATAAGCTACAATCACTAATACAAACAGGCTCCATTTAAGTTAAAAGGTAAACAGGCTTTTGAGAGTTTTTAATGACAAGGTTTTCCTTATTATGCTGGAATAAAATGGTTATTATATTCATCAATCCAAGCCTGCAAAGCAATTCCTGAGTGTCTGCTGGAAACTGTGAGACAGAAAGATGAAAGTCTCAAAAAGAGAGAGCAGCCACAGAACCATGCAGTTCCCACTTGACGCAGAGGGTCCCAGAGGCCAAGACCACGGAGAGCATGCGTACGCAGTCCCTCTAATGTCACCATGGCTTCGCTTCACCCACTCGTTCTTCTCAGCTCACGGGTCCTCGCTGCTCATATCAGGGCAGGCTGGTTTACAGCATGTGGTGGAGAGCACATGTGGGAGTCATCACAGCTCCAGGCAGTCCACACTTACAACAAATAGGGTAAGCCTGTGCAACTGTGGTTGCATACAGGGTGGCACTCATCCTTGGCTGTTTTACTTCCCATTGCCATGCATGTCCACCAAGCCAGCCCAGCAGTATGTACCATCAGAGCCATGTGGCCCTGCCCCTTTGCATCTGACACCTGTAGGGCTTCTTTCCAGGTTGCTGGGCCAGCTCTGTCCTGTCAAGGGATCGAGGTCATGGGAAGAACAGGGTAGAAGAAAGGGGCCCCTCTACTCCTTCAGTCTTAACTTTCTCAGTTCTTACAGTACCTATGAATGAAATCCCTAAATGTAAATTCATACTAGGGTCAGTATTGAAAGCTAGCCCATGTTTGACGAAAGCATTTCTATAAATCACATACTATCTGAATCTTATTTCAGGCCTTTGTGAAAATTTTCTTAAATCCTGGTTGAAATCTGAGGTACATAAATAAATGAATGCATCCAATGTGTAAGGCTAAATGGTTTTGTTTTGGTTTTTTGTTTGTTTGTTTGTTTGTTTTTCAGTCAGGGATACAAGATGTTTCCCAGACTCTCAACTTACTATGCAAACTCAAACTCATGGCCCCTCTGCTTCATCCACCCTAGGCAGTAGGGCTGCCAGCATTTGCTATTATACTAGACCAAGACAGAATCTTTTCACTATGAAATATTTTATGAGCAGGTAACAGATATAAATTTTATAAAGCTCCTCAGTATGTCAGGGTTCCTCATGATTCTATTTCCCAACCACAGCTTTGCAGATCTTCTGAGGCAGACACCAACAGCTTCTGTTTTGTCTGAGATACACTCTATGCACATGCTAAGATGCACACTTCCCATCTTTACAAAACAACAAATGCCTCTATCCTTATTAATAGAAACTTTCACTGCCAGGATAAATAGGACATTCTTTTAATTGTCAGATCATATTTTATTGTGTGGCTATACTACCATTCATTACATTCATCACTTAAATAATGACCATATGGATTGTTTCTAATAGCTTCATTTAGTTAAAATATCATCTTTCTTGTCTCTGTAATACATGTGACCAGGTTTTATAGGGTAAGTCCCCACAGCAGTAGCAGAATGGATAGAAACATTTCATTTATTGTTTATTGTATATGTGTATGATTATGTGTATGTGTTTGCGGGTTTGTGGCTATATGCAAATGTGTGTATATGACTGAGGTATTATGCATATGATTGGCACGTGGAGTCCTTGGGTATTGTTCCTCTAAACTATCCATTTGGGGTTTTTTTGAGACAGGATCTCGCACTGGCCTGGAGACTCATCAAGTTGTGTAGGCTGAGTAGTCAGCGAGATCCACAGATCTGCCTGTGTCTACCTTCCCAGCATTGGGATTGAACTCAGGGCCTTGTGCTTGCTAAAGCACTAAAATCTCCCCACATCCCTGAAAGCATTTTAAATCTGAATGATTCTATTCAAGTGCTCCAGGAACTACCCTATACTCCCACAAGCCAGTCCAGAAAGACTTTCCACTCACCACCATTCAGCTTCTGCACCATGCTGATGCAGTGCTGACAAGGCAAGTAAGAGCAGGTATTGTGCATGTAGTGTTAATGAAAATCTCATATTGTGAATGAGTCTGAGCATCATTCTAGCTCCTAACATACGTTTGTATTTTCTTTTCTATGGACTTTGTATATTCACCTGTTGAGATTTGGATTTTTTTTTAATCAGGAAGTTAAAGGAAGTATTTTTATGTGAATAAAATTTGCTCTTTATCCCATATAAATTTCAAATGTGTTTCCCCTTTAACATTCATCTTTCAGCCATATTTGTGTTACTCCTGCCACATGGGAATCTAAGGTCAATCACATCACTCATGTCTCATGGCTTCTGGCTTTTTGACAAACTTTCAAAAGGCCAATCTCATTTTGGAAACAGTCTAAAAGATTTCTCACAATTTTTTCTTTTGGTTTACTTTATTATTTCCTAGTTTCAATGTTGACACTTTTTAAAGCCCACTAAACTATATTAAATTACAAAGCCAGTCAACCACAAATTATGGACTGTGGGGACCCGAGGAAGCCCCAAGGCCATGGCAGAGCCATGTGAAGGACTGCAGGGCTTCAGACCCATGTGCTTTGGTCCACGAGCTAATTTTGCCAGTGTATACACAGAGCATCAGCACACCTTCTCCAGCATCACAGCTTCCTCAGGGATGTTTACAGCCAGAGTGTGGTCTCTATAGTGGCCTCCTACAACAGAGGCTGTTATAAAATCAACGAGTGAGTTTCTGGCTTGTTGTGGGGTTTTTGCTTGGTTGGTGTCTTCTATCAGAGCAAAGCTCAGCCCACCCAAAACTGTTTTTTTTCATGTGTGTCTGAGTATCTAGGACCAAACTGTGCAAGGTATGGCAATTGAGTATCTTTTGGGGTTTGGGCTTTGTTTTTGAGGTTGGATCCTATTATATTGCTGGAGTTGGTTTTGTATCCATGAATGATCTCAGGGAACTGTGACTCAGCCTCTCAGGTAGTTGGGAATATGTACATGTGACTCCATGTCTGGCTTTTGAATGGTCACTAGACAGTTGTGGTATAGCTGCACGTGTGTATGTGGGAGAGCCCTACTTACCTAGATCCTGTGCCATCCACTTCTGCAGCCACTGCCTAGTTAACACTTAATACGTGATTTAACAAGCAGTTCATCAATAAGAACAAAGTACCCAAAAGAAAGAACTTTAGGTACATAAATAAGATTTAATGCAACCATTTCAAAACACTGGTAAAATATACAGAATCCAGATTTTACCAAGGCAACCACTTCCAGATGTACTTGCAGTCCCTCAGCTTGGGATCATCTCTTCATTGCAGGACCAGTGACCTAAGACTATTTCTCTGTTTGCTTTCTCACATGCCTCCTCTGAGTATGGCACCCTGCACCAATCCTCATGCCTTACAGCAGCGTCCTGAATCAGAGATTCCAGTTTTTACACATGATACAAACATCTACGCTGAGCTCATGGGCCATCCATCCTTCCTACTGTGCCAACAAACTGGGTACCCCTCAATAAATTCCAAGCCATCCACACCTCATTCCTTCTCATTGTCCCTCTCTCTTCCCGCTTCCTCCTTCCCCAGTGCATGTATTCTGGGCCTGCAGAACGACCTCAACTAGGCCATGAGAACAATGACTATCTTTCAGTACTTTGGACACAGCCTAGAAAAGCAACATGCAATTAGTGCTTGCTCAGTGAGCAAATAGTCAAACCTGTGAAGATGCCAGCCTGCCAGCGACACATACGACCCTGTCTTAAAGTTTTTATTCTTTCTTTCCTTTCCTTGGCAACTTGGCTCCTTGGTAACCCCAAGAAGCTGCATATTCACCTTTCCTTCTCTGCACAGCACATTCAGAAAGTGTTTGGGGCACTGGGGAAACATAATTATGCCATTTGAGAGCTATAAATAACCCTTAATTTTTCTATACATATGGAGGTGGCAAGGGTGTCTTAGGATATATTTAATATTATTTAATATTGTTATCATCTGTAAAGCTCTCTACTGGGCTCATAAGCTGAGCGTTCCAACAATGGGTGGACAGCTTTTACCTACTCTAGGTTTATTCTGCTCCCACATTCTGACACCTACTGTTGATATCCCAGAAGCAGTCAATGTAGACAGCCTAGACATCTGATTTCATTTAACCTTTCAGATGCCAAATGCTTCAGGAGCACATAATATACATGTGGTGTACTGTGCCATGAGCCGTGACAGCACAGCAGTGAGCCATGTACCTCTTGTGATGGGGATTGGGATCTAGCAAAGGAGACTATAGAAAAATGGAAGAAAGGCACACGTGCAGGCACAGAGTATGTGCACAGGTGACTGAATACACTTGGAATCGAATGTGGGGCCAAATAACTATAACATCATGACTTCATAAGAGACAGGCTTTCAGGGATCAACATCTCTATATGAGTAGCCTTTAAATATATCTTTTAAAATGGCAAATGCAGTCAGCAACCTCATTCTCACAACATGAAACTAACCACTACAGCACAGAGCCCAAGACTGGTCCAGCATCTTCCTTTGAACAGACTGCCGCTAGAGCACCTCACTGCCAGTCTCGGAAAGGACAATTCTTTCCTCTAGTTGTCTGCTGAATGCTGGCTGTTTTGTCTCTTCCTGGGGCTTAGTCCAGGAGGGCCTGTCATCTTCTACCATCACGGTGAATCCTTTCCTCTTCGATAGTCTTTACCCCCATTTCCTAATGAGTGCTGTCTCCCCTTCCTTAAAAACTTCTGAAGTTTTGTTCCACTTTATCCTTCTCTGACTGACTGACTGCCACCACCACACTTCCAGAGACAGCATTAAAATCTAAGAGTTGAAAGAAATCAGTGAAAAAAAAACCCAAAAAACAAAAAACAAAAAACTGTTCCCGAGCTAAACAGGAGCTGTAGGTCTTTTGTCCAAAGGTCCAACTAAGCACAGGCAGAACTACTATTGCAGGGCTGGAGGGATGACACAGTGGCAAAGGTTCTGCCTGCCAAACCCGGTGACTTGACCTCAATCCCCAGAACCCACATGGTGGAAAGAGAAACAACTGCAGCAAGTTGTCCTCTGATCATGAGCACCATGGCACATGCATTCCTACACACATATACATTCAAACACACAAACAAAGAAAATACTAAAAAAGAAAAAAAACATTCTAAATGAATATTAAATCTTCATTTAAAAAGGCCTGAACACCTAGGCCTTTTTTCTTGTTATAATTCCCCAAGCAATAAAATATAACAACTGTTTATAGAACATTGATATTTGTAGGGGGTATAAGATACCTGGGTGAGAATGTGTGTCAGTTATATACAAGCAAACACTATGCCATTTTCTAAAAGGAACCTGGAGATGAACTAGATGTCTGTATTCTCGGGAATACTGATACAATCCTCCACGGGTACTGTGGGAACTTACTGTATAGTCATTGGGCAGCTCCAGGCCAGTGAATGCACACAGAGTTACTAAGGAAGCCTCTTGGGGTTAAAGAGGGAAAGGACAGGAAAACAGGTAGCAAAGATCTTCTGATTTAGCTGTGGGATGAAGCTTGCCTGTGCCATGGGTCAGACCAAAAGCAGAACTGGATGTTCATGACAGATTCTGTCCCCCAAAAGCTTGGAGTACCATTTTTTGTCCTCAACGTCAAAAGATATGACTACTAAGTTGGTTATATTTTTAATTGTTCTGAGTGAAACATTGCCTTCATGCCACCAATATTCATTTCAAATACCCATAGCAATTCAAGTGATATGCATTTTTAATAAACACAATGAGAATCTTCCTTGGTTGAGGGGATGAGGAGTAAATCCAGGGTCTTACATGTGCATGGCAAGCATCCTACTACTGAGCTACAACCCCAGCAGAGGAATTCATCTTTAATGGAGTACTGTCAACAACTGTTCTCACACAGCACTGAACTGAATCTCTGCTATATACTTCTCAGCTAGTAGTCATTATTCCCATTGTATAGATACTGGAAATAAATTCCTAACAGAATGAACTTGTATATGCCAAGCAGCACAAGCAATGCTTAAGAAAAATTTCAAAGTTTTTAAAATTTAAAAATTAAAGGTCTGGAGGCATAGTTTAGTGATCAGAATTTTTGCCTGCACAAAGCCTCTAGTTAGATTCCCAGCATCACATTTACACAGTGTGCTGGTATATGCCTGTAATCCCAGGGCTCATGAGGTGGAACCAGGAGGCTCATAAATTCAAGACCAGTCTAAGATACATGAGACCCTGTCTCAAAATCACAGTAACAAGATATCTCCAAACAGCATGAAGTTTATGTACCTACTTGCAAAATACATACAAACCTTTATCACGTGTGTGTATATATATATATATATATATATATATATATGTTTTTATAATTATCATAAATTTGCACAACAAATCTGCACCATAAATTTGTATACACATATATAATCATTTATATAGATATATATACACATTATAAACCTGCCACGCACACACACACCCTCATATATATGTATTCACATATATCTCTTAACATACATATGTATGCATGAACACACATTATATACACACACCCATATATACACATTATAAAATTACAAACACACATAACTCCGTCACATACAGATACATACATACATCTCTATCATATATATACCTCTACCACATGCAAACATACATACATACACATTTCTATCACATATATACACACACCCATCTCTATCAGATACATATACATACATCGTAAACATCACCTCTTAGAAGGGCAGGAAATATTTTCTTGACCATAAACAATTTGGGGAAAGATTCAGACACAATCATCTTGTTTTCTGTCAGTCACAAGCATCAGCGGCAATTAAACAAGTTCCTGCAACATTTTCTAAAACAAGGCAAACACGCTGTCGCTAAACAGCTCTGTACCTGGTGTTTCAAAGGCCCAAGGAAGCCTAGATTTTCTGCCATCCGCTGGGCCTGGCTGTCCTTTATCCCTTCAAAAATGTCAATCTGCTCCTAGTAGAAATATATCAAATGAACAAAATTCAGAAGTCAAGTATGAAGATTTAAACCTCAAAGCAAACGTTTAGTATTTACTGGCAAATGAGTAATTAAAGTGTGGCACCCTTCCATAAAGCTCTGAGCAGGGCTACTGCGGCTGCCTATAGGCTACGTTTTAATTAGCAGGCCATCTATGAAACAGCCCTTCCAAAAACTATATAATTCTTCAAGGTGGCATGCTGACAAGACGATCTGATGCCAGTTTTCACTTTTAATTACTACACAGATGGCATTGATGAATATTTAGTCAGTTAATTTTTGTGACATCTTTTGGAAGGCATCCAAAGAAAGGCTTTGCTGTCTAATATTGCTATTAAGTTTGGAGTTGTCATATACAGGTTAAATATTATCTTATGACTTGAGCACTTTATTCATATGAAAATTATTAATAATACCTTCACTCTACAAAGAGCTGTTCTGTCAAAAACAATGAATGCTGTTCATGTGCCTTAGTTCATGCATTATGTTAGCAAATGGGATTGTTTTAGATAATGTTAATTTTGAAAATGGCTAGACATTATGAGTAAGCCTGTGTATAAAGCTTCAATTAAACTTCCAAAGCAGTTAATCTATCTATGTAACACTGATGAGAATATTTTTAAAACAATCACTGAAGTGTGGGTACAGTATATAGAAAAGCAGATTCAGAAAATATGATTCTTCCCCTACTTAAGGAGAAACAAAACAATTCCTAAAGGAAATAATATTTCTTGTAGAAAATTTTAATGGAATTAGACATTAAGAACCCACATTAAAAACTAAGTTCATGGTTCTAAATGTTCAGTTGATAAGAATGGCACCTGAGCATTTCTTCCTATTAGTCCACTTAATCCTTGTGATGCTGGAGTAGAAACCACTACATTATCATTACTTACTTTAAAAACTGAAGCTTAAGGTTTGTGATAGACTCCCCACCTATTTGGATCTGACTACAGATCTCTCTGAAACCAATCTTAGTGTGACGATTTTAAGGATATGGAACTCTGAACGCCTGTTTTTCCCTGGACAGTCTGTAAAGTTTAGTATCCACTGTCAACTTGATAGGGTCTAGATTACAGAAGAGGTAAGTCTCTGGGCATGCTTGTGAGGTCGTGCCTAGGCTAAATATATTGAGGAGCAAAGACCCACCCTGAGTGTGAATGGTATCATTTCATGGTTCAGGGTCTTAGAAAGGTAGAAGAGAAGACTGAGCACCAGCATCATCTCCCTCTGCTTCCTGACTGTGGATGCAGTGTGCCCAGCTGCCTTCCCCACAATGGTTGACTGCATCCTCAAACTACAGGCCACAATAAACCATCCTTTAAGTTACTTGGTCAAGATTTTTTTTTTTTTCACAGCAAGAAAAGAAACTAATACAGAGACTCTCCCCCTGGCAGTAGGATCAGAATCCATCCCTGGTGCATGAGCAGGCTCTTTGGAGCCTACTACCTATGATGGGACACCTCACGCAGCCTTGCAGGAGGAAAGGCATGGACTTACTCATGTGTATGTGCTTAGCCATGGGAGGCCTTGCCTTCTTGTGGGGAGAATAAGAGGTGGGTTGGGATGGGGAGGCTAAGGCGGGTGGCAGAAGGAAGGAAGAGGGGGATCTTTGATTGATGTGTAAAATGAATGAAAAAGTTTTCTTAATAGAGAGACTTACCCACATCCAGTTATATAAGAGATAGTGTCTGCAGCCTTGGTGCAGGGGGAGGGGCTTGAACCTGCCTCAGCTGAGTGTGCCAGGCTCTGTTGACTCTCCATGGCAGTTCTTGCCTTGGAGGAAGTAGGAATCGTGGATGGGAGGCTGGGGAGTGGGAGGAGGGAGCAGAGGGGGAACTGTGGTTGGTATGTAAAGGGAATAGAAAATTTCTTAATAAAAAAAGAAGAAGAAAAGCAACTACTATGACACTGAAGAAAAAAAAAAAGATGGTGTCTGGACCATGCCCATGGCTAAAGGCAGGGCGCCAACCATGCAGACATGGACGCAGCAGTGTTCTCCTGTTGTTAATTCTTGGGTCAAGTTGGACAGAAAAAATGATGCAGAAAGACAAAGCAGGGAGGAAGGAGAAGAAAGAGAGGGGTCAGGGAAAAAGAAAAGTTCTTCGAATACTGGACACTTCAATTCTGCGGGACTCCCAAACAGTTTCCAGTTAGACTCATCATCCTCACCTCACACCGCAGCCACAGGTCCACTGCTCCCTGCCTGCCTCAGGCTCCTCATCAGATGCTGAGCAGTTACTATCCCAACACACAGTTCACATGACCAGCTAATCAAACATACCTTAAAGATGAGTTCTGGGCTTTTAGCCGCCACTTCTTCAATATCAACGCCCCCCTGGGGGCTGCCCACTATCACGGGACCATTGAACGACCGGTCCATCAGAATGGCCAAGTAGGTTTCTCGAGAAATGTCCAGGGCTTCGGCAACCATCACCTAGTGCATAAATGGAAAGTGAGCTAAGTTGGCATCAAACCGATGTAAGCTTGGAAATCCATGTCTCTACCCACAGAAGGCAAGCAGCATCGTTTCCAGGCTCCTGACAGGCAGTGAGTCAGTGTCCAGAGGTCTGAGGCCTCTACATAGGTGCACGGGGCCTCCTGTCACCTCCTTACTGATCTGGTTAAAGTGCTCAAGTGACAGGGATCTGGTTGGCCTCAGGAAGCCTTCCCACTCTCATCTTCGTTTTTTCTTTCCGGTGAATCTCTGTCACTTGAGGAAAACTCTAGGGACACAGGTGTTCTAATCAGACACATTAAGAGTGCATACATTGCCGGGCGGTGGTGGCGCACGCCTTTAATCCCAGCACTCGGGAGGCAGAG